TACCTGGTACCCATGAAGACTGATAATTATCACTCCAAATGGAAATAATCAGTAATTCTATGATACCTGTTCAAATAGTCATGTCCGCACGGATGTTTTCACTCTTGAACGGGAATTGTCGCCCCTGCCCGCTCCACCGCCACACCTTTGCCATATATGCGCACTCCATCCAAAGCAGCACAAAACAAGACAACATGCAGAATACGCTTGCGATTCGTGTTTTGTAAAGGGTCCGGTGAATGGGAAGATCACTAACAAAAACAATAAGAACATGCAGAATTAGCTTGCGATTAGAGATTTGCAAAGGATTCTGGAAAGGTGTGGGTATAGGTCAACAAAGCCCAGAAAAGGGCAGTGTTTTGAAACATGTGGAAGCCTGTACCGTTGGAGCACTTGATTTATCAAGTTCCACCACCCAACTCAAAACATTAAGCGTCTGAAGCCCACACCTGGTACAATTGTACCAGGTACCGCTCCAGTGTGCGAATTGGTGTAGATCGAGGGCTTACATGCCTGCATACAAATGCACAGCGTCCAATGAAATCTTCATCGACGCTGCAGCTTTCACAGATAATGTTAAAACACCACTTTGCTTGGCAAGTGCAGACCTGAAATCGCAGGTCCTCAATGATCTCATCTACCATGTGTAATTTCGGCAGAAGTGGAAAACGCCGTTCTGCAACCTCATTGCTGAGATACGCCAAGTACCTGTACGCCCGAACAAAGTGCTCCCCCAAGTTGATCGCTTCTGTCGCCTGAGGCCGTGGGAGCCAAAGGTCTCCATGATAAAAAATATGCATCATTTTGTTGAGCGCGCGCACCGCCGATACCTCACAAAATTTGTATACCAACACGGGCACAATCCTGAACGCGTGTGATAAAAATTGACAAACAAACCTTTTAATGAAAAGAATTGCTGAAGCCCTTGGCGAAAATACGATAAAAGTCACTCGATGATCTCTCAATCCGAGTTCATGCAGCTCATCACCAAAAACCTCGCAGCAGTGCTCCAAGAATAGCCCCAACGTACTTGTGACAGAGGCCTTGTTCCAAGATCCTGCAGGTTCTTCCATAGGTCCAAAGGCATTGAACGTGAACTTGTCCAGCTTTGTAAGAAATGGAGTCAACTTCCTAGCCCTGCAGAAAACCCGATATTCTTCAGAAATGCTCTGAAAGCGGATATCCACATTGCTGCCCGGAATCGCCTGCTGGAGAACAGTAAAGGCAGAGGAAATGAAAGCCTTCCCAACGCCCAAGTGTATGCAATGCCAGATGTCGGGGCGATGAAAGCGCGCCCGTGCGTTCGGGCCGCCATCCAGAGGCAATGCCTTCGTGAAGTTGCTCTCTTTGTTCCATGGTGCAGCAATCTCATGAGCATGGGCTTCGTCAATGCTCCGCTTCGCCATCGTCCTAATAACGGCCATAGGTCGACGCAAACACGTACACACACGCACATGCACAAGAAACAACAAATCATATATATAAATCAAAAACTGCCCAAAGACAAAAAGAACCACCAAGGACCAAGGCTCCAATCTTCCCAATCATGGCCTGGAGTCCCTGCCAAACACAGGTGGCAAAGCCCAGATGGGACTGAGTTCTTGCCAATTCGTTCGGTCTTGGGGGCATGTCGGTACGATCTGGTCAAATTTGCCGCAGTCACCTGAGTGCACAAGGGCTGTTCACATGCACGTGGCACCTTTGCAATTAAACAACCCACAAGAATCGCCCAACAAATTGTCGCCAAAAGCGATTGAGCGACCAAGTATGACCAGTCTCCCTTGTTGCCAAGACATATAGGATACAGGATCTCCCCTCCATCCAAGGCAATGCCAGTGTACTGCACACGCGATAAATCAGCAACGGCCAAGTTGACAACATCTTCCCAAACGCTGCTATCATCTTCGTACAATGCCTGCGTTCAGAACATATGTGCAGGGAGCAACCAAATATAAACGGTTGTAGGAGATTGAGGGAACTTCCTCGTTCTAAAAACATAATTGCTTTGAACAAACACATTTCAAACCTCAATCTTAAAATGATTTGAATACCCGCCCCTGCAGTCCTTGGGCGCTACAGCCGTCAAGAACCTCGACTGGAAGGCTGTCCTCAAAAAGTTTAGAGGAATTCCAGCTTCCTCGATTTCCGGAGGTAGGGCAGCTTCTCGAGAACGGCGCTTGCTACCATAACCAAGAACTGGCTGGAAACTCGTGATCAGAACTGCAGACTTCTTGTAGTGCTGTCCCTCGTCACCGTGCAAGAAGAGCGGTACGCAATTCTGTAGATTCAATCCTTGATTGAAAACATCGTGATGTGGGTGGATTATTCTCCACCGCTCCCAGAACTCTGCGAGAACATTCTTGGCAGCCGCGAGCGTAGGGAAACCAGCCAGCAACCTGTTCAGGTCATTCGTTTTACTCATCATTTCTATGAAGTGTGAGGGCTTGATGTAAGGAAAGTCCTTGATCTTGCCACCAACGCCGACTGTAGCAAAGGAGCACTCCACTGGGTAGCGGAAACCGTGTGCTTCAAAGACTTTCGCGACCAACTCCTCCTATATACGTATATAGATCTGAATTAAGTCTTTTGGAGTTAGATTGAGAAACCTCAATATGTCAGCATACCAAAAAATATCAAAAACATATATATCAAAAGCGCGGAAAAACAGCACCCAAAAGAGACTTTCGAATAAGGGAAGTTTCCGAATGGTTCTCTGATGCTGTTTGCAGGTCTCGGAGAACTCGACATTTCTTACCGCCGGCGTCGAGCATGTCATGCCAGTCAGCTCTTGCAGTTCGAAGGATCTCGGTACAGGCCCCCTCAGTGCCACAGAATATGTAGAGGGGACGGCTTTGTCGAGGTTTGATCACTGACCCCCTCATGCATGCACCTATTTACTCGATCCAATTGAATATAAGAATCCACATCAACAAATAATTTTTGGGGGATGCAGTCCACCAAAAGATCGATAATGCTTGAACTGAAGCATTCCGTGTCCCACGCCCCCCAGCTTTCCGTATGTGCGATGATGCAGCCTTGGCACACCGCGGCTGTACTGCCATGCCAGACGCCGAGCCTTGCGACTCGGACCTGCGAATGGGGCTGGCAAAACCTAAGGTGATCGATGGCCCAGTGGTGAAAAAGGTTCTTTTGAGGGCTGGGATTTTGTGAAAGTCCGGTGCAACGGTTCTTCTTTTTTGAGCACGGATTCACCCCATCATCTTCAAGAGACTCCAAATCGCCTCCTTCAGGCAAATTGGAAAAGCCAAGTCCGGTTTGACAAAACCGGTCTGAATTGGATCCTCATGCGCAGGCATGACAGCTTCCACCCTCACATCAGTGATCAGCACTGGTGTGACCCAAAATAGCTCAAGCGTCGGCGCTTAGGCAGACTTCCTTTTCTTGGTGCTCTTCGGCTTCGCCGTCGAGGCTGAGGCACGCTCCGGTTTGGTTCTACGGCCCTTTTTGGACCTGCCGGTAGTATAAGGCTGAGTTTCATCTTCGGCTTCTTCCGGTTCAGTGGTTTTGCCTTTTCTCTTCTTTGATTTCTCACCCTTGTTATCGTGGACCTTTCTCGAAGCAGCAATGGCTCTCTTCAGCAACCTTGAACAAATGGAGGGAACCAGTTGTACATAGTTCATATATATATATGTTCATATTGGGTTCGATAGAAGGCATATTACACAGATTAAGACACAGACTTGTACTGCGATTCCAATGTGATCAGCTCCGCACACCTGAGATGTTCAAGACAGCTATATAGATGTTGCCAATAGCCCCTCATTTGCAGTTCCCTAATTGTTCCCATACAGATTTTTCCTCTGAGACATGTATTGTATAGGCCAAGGATCGGTTCCTTGACCTTCTCCTTCTCTCCTTCAATCGTCTTGGCAATCCTTAGAGGGGTTCTGAATATGGGTTCGTATATAGAAAGCACTGGCATGCATGCGTGCAACAGCTATAAGCATGCGAAAACATGTTTCCCGCAGTAGGCAGTTTGCTCTCCCATCAGCTGCTGTAAATACTCGGCCGGTCAAGCAAATGTGCATTGCTTGGACGTTTAAATGATTTGAAGACAAAGTATACAAAATACGGGCCCTCTTCATCGACATTCGCAGATTCCCCTCCATCGCGAATGTTTTGGCAGCCTTCCTCTCCTCAAACAAATCGAGGCGTGAAGAGGGTATAAAACAAGATGCCGTGCGACGATGACCTGAGAAGTACAACACTCATGTTTTGTTGGTTGGAGTCGAGCCCCGAAGTGCGAACGAGTGGCCCATAAATCGTTGGATAGCTGCTGCTTCCACATAGGACGTAGAGATGCTCTCGTACGAGCAAAAAACAACTTTCATGCCGTCCCACGGTGGTTTCGCGTGGATGTAGCCAAATTTATCGTTCGTGAATCGAAACACAGGGTCATGTGTCAACTCCACTTTAAATATACAGGGGCGCGCTGCCTTTCTGTATTTGTCAATAGCACCAAACACGTGCTTCAAGACTCTCCCTGGAAGGGCACCCTTTTGGCACAAATCATAGGTGATCAGTGGGTGATCATCCATCTTCTGAAAAAGACTGTTGGTCCTGGGTAGGAGAAGGATGTTGTCGTTCAACTTTGACGTGTACCTTTGGCATGGCCTGAGGCTGAACTGTGTGCAGGGAGCCGCCGCATATAACATTACCTCAATCATGCATATAGAAAGACGCAGGGGGATGGCTTGGGCATGTTGTGTCAAACTGTCTGCCATGACTCAAAAGAGGCGAGATGCGCTGGTGGATTGTCTGTGGGTGTCAATGAGTTCCCGGAGCCACTCACTCTCTTCATCCACAGGGTCATCATCCAACGTGCTTGCCATGCGTTTTTAGGCAAGTTCCCGATTCAAGCGGACAGCTTTGATTTGAGCCATCTATGTTGAATCATTTGATGTGCCAATCATCCATGCAAGACTTGCCTTTATATATACACGGGCTCAATACACAACAGGACAACAAATGATTCCAAGAATCGTCTTCAGTTTTGGATGGTTTTTCTCAAGCTTCTCGATCTTGTCCAACTTCAGCTCCGTCAAGAGAGCTGCCATACGCTTGAAGGAGGTCTCAAACTTCGCACAAACCGAATCAACCTCTTTGGCCAACCTGCTCACATCCATATAAACACATACGCGTACATGTAGTCACATGCAACTACATAAACACATTGTGCATGCGAACTGCTACAAAGCACACATCCTATATACATATATAAATGAGCCAAAAAGCAGTTCATATCTCTCAGTAGGGGGAGGGTTGGTCTTGTCACGCATCGTGGCCACCATGTCGAAGCAGCTCGAAACCTTCGCCTGCACGCTGTCCATCGTTTTCTGCAAGTCCGCGCTCACCTGGTGTGTGCGTGTATATCTCGGATCGATGTTGGATGAATTAACCCATTATTGAAGAGCTGTCCCATATGACACACCCTGCCTGTTCGCCAACAACCTCTACCCCAGTACTGTCTGGGTCATTCAATCCAATGTTCAATTCAGGAACATCCGGGCTCGCGAGATCAGGACGGCCATCTGCATCCTGGCGATACATTGCGCATGTGTGACTGTACGTGTGCAGATTTGGCAAGGTTGCATGAAACCACACCTTTGCATCGATCCTGACCCCCACCCACACACACGCACACGCAGTCCTTCTCTTGCTCTTGCGTCTCGGTGACTCTCTCACTCATTCGCAAAACCGTGGTGGTTTCGTCCTCCAGAAAGTACTCCGTCACCGATGAGTTATACTTCCAAGCCCTGAAGCAGCTGTGGGTCTTTTGAGTTCAATTATATATAGCTGTACCAGGCAATTATAGTGAGTGTTGAATGTTCATTCAGTTTTCCTGTGTGTGCAAACATCCTATACATGCCTTGTAAGGGCTTGTGGAAAGCGCGAGCAATAATCGCAGATGGATTGGATGCTTTGCCTTGAAGACGCAGTTTCAAACAACGAAGCATTCATATATGAAAAACAGCACCTGATAATATATAGAACCAGCAACATGTATAGAGTCGAGTCAAGCTACGGGCTATATTCTCCACTTTTCACCATCTTTTCCTTCGTCCACCATTTACCCTTCACCTCCTTCTCCTTCTGGAGCATTCGTTCCTTTACGATCTTGCAGCGAAGCTTGAAGTCTGCCTGTGTGTGTGTCGTTGCGGATATACCCATATAAAAGTTTGCGCATGCATGTTGTTTCATTGAGGGGACCTGGCCTTCATGGGGTTGAAACACTGCCGTGATGTTCCAATTTTTTTCAATGACTCCAAAAGCGCGATTTCGAGCCATTCTCGAAGCTCCCCTCCAGATTTGTAGTCTGCAACTACCTCTGGAGGTACATGGCACTTGCCGCTGCTCTTGGTTTCTACCAATCTCCGCAGGCGCATTCGCAGGGCATCGTGTGAAAGCACCTGGGTATATTTAACACGTGGTGTTTTTATACCAACGAGGACATGTTACATGTTCCATGTTCCATGTATGTTGAACCAACTGCATCCAAAAAGCTGCTACACCGTCTGGAGTCTTGATGGGATCGTGATCGTCAGCGCAATCTTCTTTATCAGCTTGATTCCCCGACTCACTATTTAAAGCGGGGGTTGGAGGTGGAGGCGGTGCTGAGTTTGGGGATGGCACTGACCGTGCGCTGGATGACCCTGACTCCTTCATAGAGTTCAATTCCCCCTCCAGGAGCTGGATCTTCTGGAGAGCCAAGCGAAGCAAATCCATGTCATTGGTCTTGGCAGCATTGGCCTGCATCGCATGCGCTTTAAAATGTGTGACCCAAAGTTGGAAGGCCAAAGAACAGAACAGAAACCTTTTTGGTATCCGTTCATTCATTTCATTTGTACCTCACAGCTTTTAAAACATATGATATAGAATTCATGCAGAAACCTTGGGCCACCAGCTCCGAAGCAGGCCTGCGCTTCCACGTCGGGCACTGGTGCAGCCGCCTGGCGAAGATCTATTGGGAGATTGGGTTGGGATCGGTCTGGCTTGCATGCTCATGCAACCATTTATATAGGCTCCTGCCTTTGCTGGGGTGGGCACTTGTGCGACTTGCTGCGACATTGGAAGGGTTGCTGCATCCTGCACGAAAGGCCCATTACGTGCAATGTTGCACATGCCCTTTTCAACAAACAAGAAACATATACTAAATATAAACGACCAAAGCGTTGCCTTGGAAGCTCCAGAAGTGGTGCGAGCACATTTGGGGATCTCAGCAAGTTCCTGAGGACACATTTGAAAAGAGACATGGTTCATTGGCCTTCCCTGCAAATACTCTGAAAGGAAGACACCCAAAAAATATATACACCAAGAATCCCCAGGCACAGTTTCAGAATCCCATGTCGAAGATTTGGGAGAGGCAGCGACCGCCTAATTCACCCTCCCCAACGCACATATACGGGCTCTCAAACTCCAAAGGGTTGACTATATATATTCAGAGACAAGTTACAGGTTCACCCGGTTCCCTCTTGACGGGCACCATTGGTGGAGGCGCAAGGCCATTGAGAAATCTCTGTGCTTCCTGGCCAGAGTGAAACCATTAAAAAAAAACTGTTGATGGTTTTGCATCACATGTGGCTTTGACCAAGAGTTTCAGCATGCAAACACCCTATCCTTCCCAATCTTCATCAACTGCTCCGCGTTCATGTTGGCTAGAGAAGACACGTCAAAACCAGCACCTGCTGCTGAGGCCTTTGCACCTGCCTCAACGGAACCACAGCTCCAGGTGCGGCTAGGTAGGGTTTGGGACGACATGTCGGGGATGGCACTGATGTCCTAACAGGACAGGCTTGGGCGCACGAGCTGCCAGTTCAAACCTTGTCTCAATCAATTCCAAAACTTATGTTGCGGTATAGTCGGGCAAATTACCTGTGAGCACATGGATAAACCTGGAGCTTTGTGGCCAGGAAAAAGATGTTGCACAGCTCTTTCACTGTGGATGCGCACAAGTCTTTTTTGCGCCAGCATCTAGCATGCTGTAGCCTGCAGGAATTATTCCAAATTATTTGTTTGTGGTTGGCCTCAAGCTCCCAAACGAGGCAACTATACTCACCACATACCACATCATCCAACACACCATACAGATTCTTTGGAGGAAAACGAGTCCCAGAATGCTCTTGTATGTCTTGGAAAACCTTCCAGTGGAAATCAGGATCGAAAAGCACCAAATCAGAGTCCAAAAGGAGAAAGTTTGTGTCTAGAGTGGGGGTCAAAAAAGTATGTAATTTTTGCGTACTTTTTGCGAAAGTCGAACGCAATCCGAATGCAATTTGAATGCAATCTGAACGCAATCTGAACGCAATCCGAACGCTTACGCATATTTACACTCCTGAACCGATGTTGCATTTTACACTCCAGATCACATATTTACACTCAAATGTTGCTTATTTACACTCCTGAACGATCCCGAAAATTGAGTTTCACCGACACCTATGTTTTCTCTAAAATTCTATAATTTCTAGCCAAAATCTTGCAAGATTTGCTGTAGAACCCTTTTAAAAATGCCTTTGAGAGTATATAGACATGGGGACCGGCAGTGAATAGAATTTGAAATGCCCAGGGTTTGGCCTTCCCACCCTCAGCCACCAACCACAAATCATAGGCGGACTGGGAGAACAGCCCTCCAGCTCTCTGGCAAACACAGGGATTGGTTTCCCCGCAGATAGCGGATGACATCCTTAAAGTTTGCTTCAGACCAATCGGTCCATGGGGTGCTAGCATAAAGGTCCTCAGCAGACCTTTCAGACACTTCTACCTTCCCTTCCCCACTGCTCAAAAGCTCGGGCATCAGTGAAGCCACCGCCTTTCCAAAAGCCGGAGTGTAAGTCCTAGGCCGGGCAAAAACGATGGCTTTTCCAAAATCCATTGGTTGGGAGGGCAACCGCTATATAGACTGGTGGGCTATAATATATAGTGAGTCTGAGGATCCCACCAGAATAGATGCATTAAAATTGGAGTGCACTTTTATATATAACATCTATATATACATCATCCCCCTAAATCTCCATGCAGATATCAACCTCAAGTATGAAACTTTCTGGGTCACTCAAAAAGGGTGATCCAGAATCCAGATTGAAACTTCAACGTGGCTGTTTTGCAAATATCCCTTGCAAGTGCGAGAGCCTTTGCATGTTTCCTGGCAAGCCGGAACCCTTCCCGATAAAGAGGTGTTAATGGTGCGCCAAAATTTGGTTGTTCAGAATTATATCAAACGGAAAGTTATATTTTTGTTCATCAAACAGTGTGGTCACACTATATGGTTAAGGGCCGGTGTCTAATCGAGGTGTCGCGTGGTCGTGTGTGACTATATACATTCATGCCTATCGAATTATCCGAAGTGCATTTGGACTGCGCAGGCTCGCAACATCTGGTTGGCCACGGCGGGTGCTTGTCGCGACTGCCCTCTCGTATAGTGGTGCCGTGCACATTTTCGGACATGGCGGTCACTTTTCCTGGCAGCGCAAGGGAGAGCTCGTGTTTTGGTGGTCTATATAAAGTATATAAAGTCGACTTTTCGTGACAGGTGCAAGGGATCGGAGCAGTGTTACTTCGAAATGCAGATTTCGTGGCAGGCGCAGCACTTTGGATATGGCGGTGATCTTCGATGCGCTCTAACTTCGTGGCAGGTGCAGTGAATCGTGACTTTTCAAGTCGGGGGAAGTCTCACGAGAAAGCTGACTTGGTCGGTTGGAGGGTAAGCGAGTGGACTCTCGTGCGACGCTCTTGTGCGACACTCTTGTGGAACACTCTTGCAGGACACTCTTGTGCGTCTCGAAACTTGTATATATGATCTATGTGCACAAGTTCGCTTGGTTGCGCTTGAGCTTGGATCGAAATCTTCCGCACTTCAGCACAAATGAGAGCCTGCAGGCTGTGTGCATTCGCTCGAGCAACCTGATCAATCTATATACGGCCTGCCCGCTACAATATGCGGAGTGATCAAGGAGGCTCCGGCAGATGGTGGCGCATGGAGTGCACTATAGAGCTTTCGAAGCAGAAGAACTCCAAGGGCACTCAAGAACGCTTGAATGTGGAGTTGCTGGGCGAGGTGGGTAACCCCCCCAGCGAACTAATGACCGCACTTTCATCCTCGCCTGCCGAAGATGATGAAGAGGCAACATCAGGAGACTTGAGATGCACCTTCCTGGGAGCAATCCTTGAGCGAGGTAACGTCAGCGGCATCCTCGATCAAACCTTCTATATTTTGGAGAAGACCGATGAGAAGAAACCTATTTGGATTTATATTTGGCTATATATTCGCACGCCTGGCGACGCCGACCCAATCTTGATGCGGTTTGGATTGTCCATATTGTTTTATAGATAAAACCAAATCAACCCGGTTCAACCCAAAGAACATTTGTTGAAGCGAGTGTCAGGACAAACCCCCAACAAAAATGCCATTGAACCAGGAGAGAGGGTCCCAGAACCAATCTTGAGAATATATATACACACACCCATTGCAGATGAGGCTCTGGGTTGATTTGAGCTCTTTCGATCCTTGGTAGCCTCCACTCTTGGTCCGCACAGTGGTTTTTACTGTGCATCTCTCCCGGTCCTGCTTCAAAAGTTTGCCTTTGTTGAGTAGACCTATTTTTTTAGAATTGCTAAACGCTTTTGTTCTTTTCGGTGAGCCACTGTTGTAATGGCACATCCACCAAGAAACTTTGTATACCTTAGGCCAATGAATCAAAGCTGATGAGTGAATTGAATGTTCACTCTTGGAACCAAACATTTGTCGACACATGGTTAAAGAACCCGATTGGTGCAGCTGAATGACTTTCAGCTGGCGGCACATGAACCTAAAGCGACAGTAGAACTCCATCAGGCTTGAACCTGGCTGTTCCACCATGAACGTTGTTCCTCTCACTGCCGCCAGGAAATTCAGACAGACCGTCCTGCAGCAGCAGTCAAGGCAGGATTCCGGAGTTGCGGGGGAGTCAGGGTGAACCTAAATGCGATAAATTAAAGACAAGAAATCACTGGAACCAACGTGGCCCCAATCAAACTGGGTCCTGGAGCACATGCAGTTGCTCCAAAACACAGAAGGCTTCCGAACATCCCCTTCTGCGTGGATTCGACATCTTCGGGATGTTCCTAAATTGATCGACACCCAAGTTGAGCATACTGTAGCATACAGGGATACGCACGAGTTCTCTTCTGCCTGAAGTAGCATCCAGATTCCTAGCCTCAGTCACCACCCGTGTCCGCCCCCATCAAATTCTTCACAAAAAAACAGCCTATACCATGCACGCACCAAGTATATATAAGCCCCTTGAGTATGGGACGCTAAGCCAGCACTCGTCAGTATGTCGTGAGGATTCGTCTTGTGTTTCGATGAAAGGTTCTTGCCGTAGTCGATGTCGGTAGCTACTGTTCGGGGATA